CCATTCCCCACCCTTTGCACGAATTTGTCTCTTCGTAAAAAATCAAAAGACATTCAGGTGAAGTTTTCTCAACATTGATTGTTATGATTTCGTTGATTTTATCTGATTTTGACCCAGACTTCTTTCCAAAAAATGTTCGTTGCGTGCAATTTCAGCCGGAACAAGAATTTTGAAAAAAGGTATGATTTTTGGATTGATAATTTAGTCCCTCCGTAAAAACGCTGAAAACCTTTTGCAATTTGATTCAAAAATTTCAAAACTATTTTTTAAAAGACTTAAATCTAAAAATTAATGTGGCCTGACGTTGCGAACTTAGCAAGTTCTTCTTCAGAGGCTAATAAAACAGAAATGACAGAGGCACATGCATTAACAAGGGGGTGCACACAAACATGCAGGGGTGAAAGAAGAAACACAAAAGGAGGATTAGGTGGAAAAGGTGTGGAAAGATGCAGGGGAGGGTGGATGAGAGAACAAAGAAACAAAGGGAGATGGCAAACCACAAGGGGTCTGGTCACTTATGAACAGGGGAGGGACCAGAAAGACTTGTCATGCTTACTGCTTACTGCTTACTTACTCTGATTCGATTTTTAAAGAACTGGTTTTTGACTATGTATTAGCCTGGGGGAGATTATAATCTGGATTGTTTGTTTTGCGTCTGTTCTTTGACGACTCTTCGGAATTGCCCCCATGATCTACCCCTTTCGTGAAGTTGGCATCAAGTGTATTTCCTTTTATTTTCATGCCTTTGTTGTTATAACTTCTCGACATTATTGACAAGTGGTGAACATTCATATTCGTACTTGTATTAGTCATCTAAATTAAAAGCAAACACATTCTTGTCCTGGTGTAAATCAAAGAGTAAAAACAGTAAAAACAGCATGCAAGAACTGACAATAGTAAAACTTACATTTAAATTAACCTATGAATAAAATATGCCTGTAAAACACAATAATTTTTAAAATGATAACATAAAGACTGATAGCAAAAAGACACGATGCCTATCCGCCCTGGGCTAGCACTATGACAATGAAATATAACTTTAAAAATATGCCGGGGAAAAAAGGATAAAGAACTTTAAAAATGTTTTTTTTTTCCATCGTCGTAAAATACTAAAAACCACAGGTGCAGATTTTGAAAAGTTATTAAACTTAAATAAAGTTATTTTGTACTGTGTTTTCCAGTGGCTAATTCACAACAAATGATGTAGAGATCTAAACGGTCTTTCATATTTGCTGTATTATTATGTAACTTTGAATATACATGTAATGCCAAATTGCATTTTGGTCAAAAATAAAATGAAGCAAGCTTCGAGTCGAACTCCGATTTGAAAAAATTGACTTGAAGCTCGCCGATCCCCTGGATCATCCAATACATGTACATACACGTATACGTATTTGTATGCAGCATGTATGCATAGTGCCTTGCCGTGGCGTGGGAACGTATCAGATTACATATCGGCCGACCGCAATATCGATCGGTTCAAAAATAGATGGTCCGCGCGGGAATTGACCTGGATTGACCCGCAAACGTTCGGGTTGTCTGTGACGTAGGCAAGTCACCGACATATTTTTCTAAAATGACTGCAAGTGCGCAGGCGTGCAAATTCCCGCACGATGCATAGGCCAAGTTCGTATGTGCAAATGTCTATAAAACTGTACATGTATGTCTAATTTGATTTGAACTCGGTAGGTACCTAGATCGGGATGTTTTAGTTGAAAATTACAGTTACATCATGATCATCACGTCATGTGACGTCACAATAAAGTAAGTGGAGTGCTGTGGCCTCGTGGTTAAGGGCATTGGATTCGTGGCCTGTGGGTAAAGCTGCAGGTCGTGAGTTCGAGTCCTGGCGGGGTCATGGTGCGTGTTAGCTATTGCACATCTCTTTCAGAACCATGTCATTTGCAATATATTCCTCAAAACGGCGAGAATTGTTTTAAAAACCTGGATAAACATAACGCTAGGATCATCCTAGCTAGGTGCGTGTGCCCTTGAGCAAGGCACTTTGTCACTGTCACGCCCCAACTATCGCATCGGTCCCAACTATAGTTGGGCCTGTCCCAACTATAGTTGGGCCTGTCCCAACTGTAGTTCCACAGTTGGGCTGGCCCAACTATAGTTGGGCCTGTCCCAACTATAGTTGGGACGGTCCCAACTGTAAGTTCCATTGTTGGGCTGGCCCATCTATAGTTGGGCCACTCCGATCTTTTTATTTTGCGGTGTCCCAACTATAGTTTACATTGATGTACAACTGTAAAACGTTCCCTTCAGCTCTGATACACGTCTGACTTTACTGGGGACCACTGAAATTAGTTATTGATGGGGCGAATCTATAGTTGGGCCACTCCAATCTTTTTATTTTGCGGTCCCAACTATAGTGTACATTGTTGTACGATTATAAAACATTCCCTACAACTCTAATACACATCTGACTTTACTTGGGACCAATGAAATTATCTATGGGTGGGGACCATCTGTAGTTGGGCCACCGCAATATTTTTATTTGGCGGTCCCAACTATAGTTTACATTGATGTACGACGACTATAAAACATTCCCTACAGCTCTGTTACATACTGTCCGACTTTACTTGGGACCTTTGACATTAGCTATGGGTGGGGCCCATCTATACTAGTTGGCCGGCCATGGCAATGAATTTTGCAAAATGTTGCTGGACAATCAACCCAGCAGCTGGACAACTCATCCAACTAGGCAGTACCACGTGACCGGCCAGCCTTGCGGCATGAATGCACGACGAATACACGGTGCCAGCGCCGCGGAACATTTAATCCAACAAGATCTATGAAGCATCCGGCGCAACTCCAGTCCTAACTATAGTTGGGCCGACCCAACTGCCGCACTATAGTTGGGACAGTCCCAACTATAGTTGGGACCGATGCGATAGTTGGGGCGTGACATCACTCATTGCTTCTCTCCACCCAGGAGTAAATGGGTACCTATGAGGGCAGTGATGGTTATTGTGATTGAATTAGCTTCCTTGCGCCTAACAGGCAACATCGAGCTGTATACTCCCCAGCAGTGTTGGAGCAAAGGCTTTGACCCTCAAGGCCAAGGCCAAGGCCAAGGCTTTGACCCTCAAGGCCAAGGCCAAGGCCAAGGCTTCGACCCTCAAGCCTCGAGGCCAAGGCCAAGGCTTAACCCTCAAGGCCAAGGCCAAGGCCCTGTTTTATGAAATGACCACTGATATAGAACTAATTATAGTCACATGAGTGACACATCATCACGCAAGGGCGGATCCAGAACACAATTGGGGGGGGGGCAAAGAAATGTTGGTCCCCCCCCCCAAAAAAAAGTGGGTCAAAAGATTACGGCTTGGGCTTCGGGGCCCGCTTAAGGGCCCAGAAAAAAATTTGGATTCGAGATGCTCTGTGGTGCGATTTGAGGCAATTTCTGACCATTTTAACCGATGTTTATTTAGGAAAAGATGGTGGTGTACTCATTGCCTGCCTTTATTACGACGTCACATAAAAAAAAATGGTTTCGTTTTTTTTTGGGGGGGGGGGGGCGTGGCCCCTTTTGACCCCCCTGGATCCGGCCTTATCATCACGAATTGCTCGTTACGAAGAACAACATTTCTTAATTGCAATCAACATGCTCGCATAGGCCTACACCGTTTTATGACTGCACTGTATCTATTAACGTATAAGTTCAGGTCTGCAATATGGTTTAACTAAACAAAATAATGATTTACTTCTATATTGACACACAATTCTCCCAAGTGTAACAAAAGGGGATCCAAGAAACTGATTTGGGAAATTTTTATTTGCTGGCCCAACATGGTCAGAAATATCAGCATTATCTAAAACAGATACATGCAAATCTTTAGCACTTATCAGGGAGACATATACAACCAATCAAATCTATTCCATAGTTATATGCAATTAAAGTGATCATCTCATTAGCCCCACAAGTGTACGGAATATTGTTGCAGCAAATCTACTACAATGGTAACAACATGTGATGCTATAAAAGTGGAAGTGTGCCTAACACACAAATCTATATGGTGCTTCCCTCCTCCATCGTACATGTAATACGATTAAAATGGTAACAGCAAAATTTCGAACTGATTTATCTGGAAAATGCAAAACTCTATGGGCCTTGAAGAGCCTTGACTCAAAATTGCAAGGCCCTGAACCCTCAAGGCCAAGGCCAAGGCCAAGGCTTTTGCCCTCAAGCCTCGAGGCCAAGGCCAAGGCCCTAAAATCCAGCCTTAAGGCAGCCTTAAGGCCAAGGCCCAGCATCAAGGCACTACATCACTGCTCCCCAGGGAGCTGAGAGTGAGATAGTATATGGAATGTTTAATTGGCCCAATGATTAGGGGTAATAATAATGTAAAGCGCTTTGATCTTAGTTAAAAGCGCTATATAAGAACCTGTTATTATTATTAAAGGGGCATTCTTGTAAGGCCTATATCTACAGAACTATAGTAGGATTTGTTTGTAACTTGTTGTGTACCTTAATTGACCGAGATGTGTTTATTAGTGCATTTTGTTCGTTAGAAGCAGCAAATGTGCTCAAAATCTAAAGAAGGGTGCTGAACAACCAACCTGATGAAGTTTCAGCTCAGTGATTGCTGTATATTCTGAGAAAAACAACATTCTAAGATCTCGATTTCAAATCAAAAGTTGCTTAGTCACGGTTTGAATTGGGCCTGAATTCAGCGTCCGAGACAGGTTCTCACTGAGCTGATTGCAGTTACGTGATGTCTGGCGTCATGTCAACGCTTGCGCGTGCTTCGCCAAATCAAAAAAATGAACTGCTGATGGAAATTTCCAACGATGCGTCTAAAGACGCATCGTTGGAAATGCCTTCTTTTATTGATTTCTTCAAAATGACAGCATGCCAGAAAGAATAATTTCACAGGGAGTTTAGTCCCCCATCTTTCAACCAAGTATGTTTTTCAACAATAATTATGTCAGTTACTTTTTGGATAACTGCAAATGATGGACCGTAGCTTTAAAACTCTTTCTGGTTTCTCTAGAATCTTCCAGAATTGTCAAGATGCCGATCTTGGAGATCAACACTACTACTAAGGTAGCGGATATCCCATCCGACTTTCTGGTGGAGACTTCTAAAACTATCTCCGAGATGATTGGCAAACCATTGCAGGTAAGGTTGGTAGGCTGTGGCCTCGTGGTTAAGGGCATTGGATTCGTGGCCTGTGGGTAAAGCTGCAGGTTGTGGGTTTGAGTCCAGCCTGGGGTCATGGTGCGTGTGCCCTTGGGCAAGGCACTTTGTCACTCATTGCTTCTCTCCACCCAGGAGTAAATGGGTACCTGTGAGGGCAGAGATGATTATTAACTTGCTTGCGCCTAACAGGCTGCATCAAGCTGTATACTCCCCAGGGAGCTGAGATGGTATGTTTAATTGGCCCAATGATCAGTGGTAATGTAAAGCGCTTTGATCTTAGTTAATAGCGCTATATAAGAACCTGTTACATTGTATTATTATTCCGAATATTCACCTTTTCAAAACTTCACAGCCCAAAAAAATGTACCCCTGTGTAGCACTTTCAAAGGCAGTCCCGAGTTTGTCAAGCAAAAAAATATTTTTCCAAAGATGTTGTATTTTACATGTTTTATATAATACGTGCAATTCCTGGGAAAAAAAAAGGTCTCCAATATTTTTAACAGTTAAGTGTACGTGTATTTCCCACCCCATTGTAGTCTATTGCAGTGTATTTGCACCCAGAACAGCTCATGGCATTTGGGGGTACCACCGACCCGTGCGCCCTTGTCAGTTTGAGTAGTGTTGGCAAGATTTCACAGGATGAGAACATCAAGTATGCCAAAGTCATCACAGAAATTGTGGGCAAGCTGGGCGTTCAACCTGACAGGTTTGTGTATAATTTCTTTTCATGAAAAGTAAATAAAAGTTCAGACTCGAGTCACTTCTTTAAAAACAGGGGTGTGAGTGACCACTGATAAAAATAGCTGAAAACAGCTGAAAAAGGTGTAAAAAAGCTGAACTTTGGAAATCTATACTCTTGTACACAGCAAGTGAGGGAAAAAAGCTGAAATCGGCTTTAAAGCTAAGATTTCACACCCCTGTAAAAAATGACTCGACTCGACTCGAGTCACTTCTTTCAAATGACTCGATTCAACTCGAGTCACAAAAATCAGTGACTTGTTACAACTGTGTGGAGGGGTGACCACTGCCTGAATCCTGCAAAATCCTGCGGCAGTGACTGTCAATATGTCGAGGCTTGGCCAGTGACATCCTGGAGCAGTACGGAGGATTTCAAGCATAATCCAGGCCTATATTTATGCATGGCTGAGCAAAAACAACACGAGGTCTGGCCCAAGACCTTGACAAAGTGCATCCTACGAAATCAGTAACGCACTTTTGCCATGTAACCTCAACCCTCCAAATTCCTCCATTTTGGCAAATAGGATTCTGGGTGGTTAGGGTTAAATTTTGCACCTGTAATTCTTTTGAAAATTGAAAAAGTGATTGAATCGGGGGAAAACAGATCCAAACATACCCCTTTTTAAAAAGTGTCAATATAAATTTTAAGGGGGGGGGGGGGGTTTCTGTAAATTGTGTAGTGTTAGTAAAACATGAATATGCATTTTAATTCCTCACTTGTGCTTTGTTCCCAGGATGTACATTATCTTTACAGACCTGGTCAGGGACAACGTTGGATTAAAAGGAACCACCCTTTCGGGTCTTGATAAACTTGCTGGCAAAAAATGAAGTTGTGAATGATAGTCACTATCATCAGTGATAAAGGCAAGTTAGTGTAGCCGCGAAAACTGACACAATGGGGATTAACTATGCAAACTAAACTAAGTTCAGGATCTTTGAAAGGAAAAGTCGCGAGGAAAGTGAGTGAACTGAATTGCGGTTTGACCATGTGGCAGCTTATATAGGGGGAACAAACAGGGGGATACACTACCAAGAAAGGGGCGGGGAGTCTTAAGTAAAACTAACAAGATTTTTTTTTTCTAAGGGGAGTTACTCCTATTTAATACACTACAAACATATAAAAAATTGTAACTAAAACTTGGCCCTGCCACATTAGCGACCAGTGGCAATCAAGAATTTGGCTGAGCAGAAATGAATTGACCGATCCATGAAAGGGTCAATGTAATGTCATTTTTTAATGCACCTAAGTGTCTCATTTAATTCTATTTTCAATTTTTGTTTTGCCATTTTCCAGGGTATTTTGGTGTCTTTTTTGGTTTCTATGCTTATGCAAATTTACATGTTCATGAGCTGTTGTAAATATTCTTTTCTTTGGTGATTTTATTGTCGTGTCAGTACATGGAATGCGTAGCTGCAACATGCATTTTGGCTTTTGAAGGGTGCAATTATTGGCAACGTGCACGTACAGTGAGCTGAGTAGGGCTTACTGGGTCCGTCTATTGATATTGGTTTTACAGAAGTTATAATCATGGCAGTGGATTGATTCTTTTTACTTGATGGCCTTAGTGTCATGTTTAAGGAATGGTGCACAAATAACAGTACTTTAAAGGCTATTTTAAGATTTCCTTCTTCCCTTGCATAAAATCCTTCAAAAATGGCTTCAAATTTCAGGTACCAAATGTGTGTGTTAAACGTGATGAGGGTAATGAATTTTTTTTAAATATCGAGTAATTACCCAAAACCAAAACAAGTAGGCCTAATGATTAAATTATGTGACACATTTGCGATTAAAGTAATATTAACCCTTACTCTCTGAGGGTAGTTTACTGCATGTCAGTTGGTTATGCCAATGCCCTCCAGCTGCAGTTTATTGGAGGATACTTTGATGTAGCAGTGAAGGCTCCAATTGGCAGGAGTTGGAGGCCCTGGAGGGTGCCTGATACTGACCAGCTGGGGGCACTTGATTGTTATCAGAGGACTCTCATTGTTCTCTGTGGCATGTATTGGAGTGCCTGTCCAGTTACCCTTGAAATGACATGGCAGATATTGGAGGGCCATGCAAAAAACATAGGAGATTTTCTTGAGGCACATATTGGCATGCGTTGGAGGGTCTAGTAGGGTAAGGGTTAAAATAACGTTTTTTTCCCTCAAATCAGCATATTCTGGAAAAGTATTGGTATTCTTTTATTTTGAAAGACATGAAAGAAGCAGCAAATGTTAAGTCTGACATCATACTTACATGAAGTTAAATGAATGTACATGTAGTATCAAAGTTTGCCTGAGGAAGTAATCCGTTGTCTTGAATGAATGAATAAATAAATGCAGTTTGTAATGGAGTCAGTCACAAGTCACCACAAGGCAATCGCAAATCCTTGTCTTAAGTCAAACGAACAGTGACAAAGGGATTCCTTTGTCATTTTTCATCCCCTGTTACTTGTGATTGACTGGTGAGGGACTAGTTTACAAGTTGGCTTTAAAGAACCTAGCCAGTTTTCAACATTTTAAAATGATAATTGGTAATGTTTTACATTAACAAAGCCAGTTATATGAAGTTTACAAAATATACACGTTCATTTTAGTTACATTGTATGGTATCACATATCCTGAGATAATTTGCATCCTGAGAAATAACAATGATAAGAAATACATGTACATCTAAAATGTGTTCCAATACAACACGGACCAAGAGTGTTCTTAAACATTCTGTCTTATGTCTTGAATGCATGATTGACCCTGTGGAAACAGGAACACTAATATCCCATTTATGTGAAGCAATCGTGTGCTGTAACAATGTTAGTCCGAAAATTTGGGACTCTCAATACTGTGTATGAGAGTCCCAAAACTTAAGGTATTGAAAACATGCAAAATAAGAAAATAGACTGGCACCTAAAACAACCAGTCCAACACAGCTTCAGTACTGCATCAATCAACCATGCCAAAAGAATTCAAGAAACATGTGACATGAAAGGGGAACTAGTCTCAGTTTACTACACATTTCTCCTTAGTCAACCCACCAGACTATTGAAACTGAATGAAGAGGACAGTCTTTCCAAATAGTTGTACCATGGTAGGACATGTACCAGTCTAGTCTTTAGCCCCATTTTGGAATCACTTGACTTCCCTCTCATGTGCAAAATATTGAAGAAAAGTCTCCTTTAAAAATTGAATTGAGTCTGCAAACTTGCTTGGTGAAATACTGAGGACATTTTCTTCGCCCCAGTGGAATTTTTGGAGAAATTTGCTGGCTAAACTTTGAGTAAAGTGGGCCTGATTTAGTTTTGCACGTTTCAGAGCACTCCAGAGCCCTGTCTGTAACTATGTATGAAGACTTGGAAATCCATTAAATATTCAAATGAATGTCTATAAACAGATCATGTCTTTTGTGCACGAGGTTGTAGAAAAATATTTTGTTATTCATAGTTAACAAGATGTCAGTATAAAAGTCTTCCTAAAATCTAAATTATAATAAAAGTTTGCGACACTTATTCTCTAAAGCTTGTCTTTGTCATGTGGAATTTTTTAAAACATTGCTTTGCAGAGTATTGACTATGGATGGAGTACTTGTAAATTTTGTGCCGCAAAATTGTAACCATTCCCCCCCCCCCCCCCCCGATACTGTATCAGTTTTGTTTTAACAAAGACTTTGAAAAGAATGCCCAAATTTTGATGCATTATTTATCTTATTAAAATATTGTGCTAAACGCATTTGTAGAAAAAACACTTTAAAATATAGAGTGCAAAAGACCCCTGTATTACATCAAACAAACAATGCTCATATCCACTGGGGTATAAAAATATTCACCAATCACCACTTATAAATTAGGATGGAAAGTCTGTTGTCCCTCATAAGGCCTTGCCTTATATTGTCCCTCGCAAGGCCTTGTACTTCTTATTTTCATTTAATCTTTCCAACCGTGTTTTTCTGTGCACAAATCTCATTCATCTTTTGCCTCCACTGGCACGTGTCGTAGAATGCGCAAATCCTGCACTTCCAAGTGTCTTCAATGTCGACCCCTTCCACTTCCCGTTCCTCTGTCCAGTACGCCCGGCAGTGGTCGAGTCGCTGCCGCAGCCAATCAGCATCAAATTCTACCGTCTCCTTGGCGACTGTCGCGCTGTTATCCCGGCCGCTGAACTCCAGTGTGAGAACTTCCACGTGCGAAAGGAACTCAAACTGCTGCAGCACAATGGTCATCAGCTCACCGAGTGTAATGCTTGTTCTGAGACCATCTCCTAGCGCTCTCACATAAGGAAGCAGTTCATCAATCAGGACCTGATCGGGATCCATTCTAAGCGACCTCAGGACCTCCCGGCCGTCAACGCGCCCCCTCACCAGGTCGTCCAGCATCTGTTTGTACAACATCATCTGCATCTTGTAGGCTTGCATCTGCTGTCGACGTATAGGCCTCGACAGATCCCCCCTTGTCTTAAACTCCACCAGCTCAAACCGGCCGTGACTGTCAAATCTTAACTCATCGATTGTGCCAACAACTAGGAACTGGTGGCCAAGGGGCATCCCAAAGATAGGTATCTCTCTCGCACAGGGTTCCCCACACAGAAGCAGTCCCCTCAAGGAAACGATAATATTGATGAGCCTAATGCTGTACCTGTCCTCACGAGTCTTGGCTTTGACTGGAACATACTTATTCACTTCACGATCTGCAATTGGAAATGAAAGATGTAAGAAAGCAATGCATTCATATTCATTTTACAAATTTTACAAATGTTAAGCAATTTACAGTGACTTAACTATATACAACTCTTTAAGCCTGCTGAATCCAGCAGTATTATCCCAATTGCAAATGAAGTGATAAGTATGTTGAGCCAACAAAGTCAAATCTAGCAAAAAGATCTTTGTCCTCTTTTCTGTTCAATGGGGTCAAAAAATGACAGCTCACTGCTGAATTCTATTGGTCTGGGCCCAGTGAAGGCAAAACATTCTTGAAGGCAACTATCCTGTGGTAATTTACACCCATGACCATGTACCTATAGCTTTTGCCCCAACTACATATGTACATGTATACTCCAACCTATACTTGGACGACTGTAATAATAATTTGGGAGGCTAATCATCCTTACTCGCAGCTGGTATGCTGAATTGCGAAGGACGCGGCTACAACGTGGTCGGGCCTCTGGCACGTGAAGGCGCCTATGGCTGCCGGCCACATCGACCCATGACCACGGAGCACAGCCTGAGATCGAAAGTGTTTGATTTTTCCGGAGGGAGGAAAACCGGAGGGCCCGGAGAAAAACCCTCGTGGCACAGGAGAGAACCAACGCACAACTCTACTAACTCATATGCGATCCGCAGCCAGGATTCGAACTGTGGTCATGGTGGTCACCTTGGTGAGAGGCGAGCGCTTTACGCACAAGCCACCCATGACTGTAGCTATAATTGGGATCATCCCAGTCATAGTTGAGATCGGAGCAATGCTACACTCGGGTGATGCTTTTAACACCTCGGCGCAACAAACCCACCTCGCTTTTCATGAATTTTGTTCCCCCCACTGGCAGCAGCCACTACTGCCTTGACTGCAGCTTTATGCTTGGCAGGCATGGCTGGTGTGGTCTCCACGATGAATTCCAAGTCGGGCTTCCAGAAGTTGTAGACCATCTGCTGTTCGCACCATAACTGGGCAACCAGATTAGACACGGTCAAGTAGGTGTTTCCAAGTCGCAAACTTTCCTTGCTGCGAGCATTCAACTCATAGGGCAGTGAAGAGGAACGTTCAGATTTGTCAGTTTTAGGGCTACTGATGGTGAGACCAGAAGTAGATGAGGCTTCATTGCTCAAACCTTTGAAGACCGGATTAGAATTGTTAACAGTTGCACCACCAGCCACTGAAGTTTGCTCAAATGCTTCGTAGGCCTCGTGCAGAGCTCTGTTCTGGCTCTCAGTTATCGATTCTTGGGAATCTTCTTTATCTTCGACATCCATTGAAACTGCAGCTTCTGTTGCCTCAAACGTGTCAAAGGCATCCAAAGCCCGATGAAGCAAGGCATCATCTTGAGACCCGAAAGCGAATTCGTCATGTGCATCATCCATGATCGAAGCACAACTGATTTGATGAGATTCAAACGGTGGGTTAATTTGATGTGGGTTACGATTTATGTTGGTTTGTAAATTGTAAGAGTTGGCAGTTCGCGTGACCAGATGTTTTGTCAAATTTGAAAAAGATGTCTGCTCAGTGATATACCATAGACATGATAGAAAAAAGGTGAGTGACTGTGAGTGTGAGCTCACTTTTTTCACATCCCTCAAAAAAGTCAAAACAGTCTGCCAACAACAGACTACCAAAAATGTGGTACAAAAATAACAAAATGAAAATCTCCAAATTTCTAGGCTTTTTTTAAGGCTGGAAAGATTGCTGGATGATCATGCCCTCACACACCACATCATTCTTCAATCCATCACTTTCAACCTCTTCCTTCACGTGGTGGTCTGTGTTGGGCTTGAATCGTTTTGCCTTGGGCACGTTGGGTGGCAACATCGATTCCGAACAACAGCTGTTTATGTTCAGGTTGGTTTCTTTGTCAACAATTTTCCGGCCAGCAGACATGTTCAAATTTTACAGTCTTCTACTCATAGTTGCTGATCATAATGTCGGTTTTCAGATATCCTCGTAAATCTTCCATCTGGTTCATTTCCCAACTAAATAACAGCGAAACATTGCACGAAAATTCGGAAATTGTTCGTGTTTCGCTAGTCCACTGCTTCCGGGTACGGGTGTTTGTTGATTGATATTTCCCGCGAAAGATATAGCTGTAATTTATACCGTATTCATCCGCTAAATATTAAATTTTAATGGCAATAATATATGTTCATGACAGTAGAAATAAAGGGAAACACAGCGAATATTCCTCACTACCATTAAAAGGAACGAATATTCTCCTTTTAGGGTTACAATAACCAGAATCGTGCGCCCTATATTAGTTAGCGGCGCTGGGTTATACCGTTTAGCATTGAAGTGCATCGGCTGCTTCCCAATCGATATGGGGGTCAAAGGTCACATAATAAACGAGCGTTTTTCTCCTTGGAGATGTTGTGCCCATTCTTGAAAATCACGCATTCTCGAGAATGGGCATGCACATTCTCGAGAATGGGCGCGCATTCTTAAGAATGAGCGCCCATTCTTAAGAACGAGCACGCGTTCTTAAGAATGAGCGCTCATTCTTAAGATTGGGTGGGAATATCACGTGCACAATTTATGAATTTTGCCCAATCTTAACAAACATTGCACGACATAATTATGTTAAATGAATTGTATAGCGGTTAAAAGGGAAATAATTCATATAAAGAGGAAAGAAAATGTGCTATGCTTCTGTACTCGTATAACTACGATAATTTGAATCAAATTAAACCTGTTATTATTGCTTTTTTCTGCCCACTATGGGAAGTTTTGTAATAACGGAGGACTGGGAACTAGTCTGGGAAGTGCTTTGTTTAGGCTAGACAAGTTACAAGTCCCTGCATGTATCATATGCGTGCCACGAAAAAAAAACGATGTCCAGAAGCTGCCAAAATTGCTCTTTTGACTAGATAGGAATCCAGCTCTGCGACGTTATGGTGGGATGTGAACAATAAATTGGTGGCACTATAGCACTATGGGATGTCGCAGTATTCATTCTCATTCTTCACATTTTTCATTCTTACGTCCCCCCCCCCCCCCCGCTTTTATTATCCCAAAAATCAGAATTCTTTGCACTAGTATTATTATGTCTCTTATATTTTCCCGGTCCCCCCCCCCCCCATATCAATACGCCTTTACTTATCATATCCACTCTACATGTACTTTTCAGCGCTTTGCGTTGCAACAGTATAATTATTGAGAATCAGTGAACGAGGATTTAGCTAGACTTGCCAAGCGCAGCCGGTGCTCGGCATCGACAAGACCGTTATCTTGTCGCGCATTCTCAAGAATGTGCGCTCAATCTGGAAGAGTTATTTTTTGCCAAGATTGAGCAAGGATCCAGTTGCACATTCTCAAGAATGTGCATGCCCATTCTCGAGAATGCGTGATTTTCAAGAATGGGCACAACATAGATATGTAACGATGCTGCCGTTTTCGTTCAGTTTTGTCGCATTATTTTATAGAAGAAGAGCACTTTTGCTGACTCATATAGCATAGATTTGTGAAATTTATGGTATAAGTATGGATGAAAAACAGTCATCTGCCAGAAAACTGTCCGGGGACAAGCAGAAAAAGTCGTCAAAGAAAAAAAGGAAAGCGAAGCAAAAAGACCGAGACGCCGAACGGAAGCGGGCGTCTGGTAAACAACACCCGGGGTTCAAGTCGTCCAGCCCCGACGAGACAAACTCGGACAGCGCGCTGGAGTTAGGTAAGTGTTTCTTTGTAACTTCGCATGGATTTGACATCTCTGCTTAGAGTCAGAGGCCACTTAGGTTTGTTTTGTTGCATAGAATAAAGTAATTGATTGATAAATTGAAGTAGGCCTAATGTTCATTGTTTTTTAGAGTGACTCAGCGAGAAACTTTGGGGGTTTAGGGCCTAATTGAAACTCATTTTAAATTTAAGGGTTTTTGAAAAGGTAAAACTGTTTGTTTAATAATATTGTGGAAAGAATGTTGCAACCTGACGCTGCTTTTTTCTTCATATATCATCTTAGTGAAGGTCAGTCATTGCAAAAATTACGATAAAAAGACATGAATCTGTGACTGAGAATTTTTCCAATTTTGTTAGGAAATACTTTAAAAAAATTCTTGACCCTCCATAGACTTTGTACACAGGCACAGCCGCTGAAGTAGCGTCAGGTTGCAACATTCTTTCCAATGTTGTTATTAAAAAATACAATTTAACAGTAAACAGGAAAGAATGTTCATCCAGACGCCACTTCTTTGGTTGTGTACAAAGTCTAGACTACATGTATGGCGGGTCATCATCATACTCTTTAGTTCCAGACTTTCTTGTCCACCATGGCCTTGGTGTTATCATCAAAGTGCTGGCTCACATCATTGCATACAGTGTCAACGTAGTTGAGGGGTCTCCTCCTTCAGTTGGGTCAAGAATAATTTCATTGTACAGTTTGTATTTTTTAACAAAATTGGAATGTTTCTGAGTCCCAGATTTATGTGTTTTCAACATTTTTGCAATGACTGACAAGATGATGAAGAAAAAAGTGACATCAGGTTGCAACATTGTTTCCAATTGATAAAATGAAATGTATAGCCTACCCTGTTGATTTGATTATATTTTTAGTAAATTAAGTAATGCGCCTATCAAATGTGCCTAGTTCTGGTTAGCGCGTGCACTTACCGTAGGAACCAACTACATACACGTTAATTGATTTTAAACAACGTATTTTGTGATGGGTCAAAGGTTTTCGGTCTGTGCGTGTCAAAACGTACCTGCAGACAAAAGTTTCAAAATTATTTACGTTAAGTCTTTTTTTAAAATCTGCTGGAGTTCTCTTGAATGAACTGATTGTGATCCGGAACTAGGAAAACGACTGTACTGATGCCTAGATTTTATGTTTTTCCACTTGTGACAGTAAAACCTAGCTAGTACAATTCAGAAGTGTGCCCTTTCTGAGATGACATTTTGCAAAAGTGTGTTCACATTAGTTGTCCAAATGCACACAATTTTGCCGACTCAACTACAAACAGATGTTATCTCCTTCTGAAGTATTAACCTACATGTAACTCCCTAGCATGATTTACTAGGAACCATACCAATCCTGGCAAATTCCAACACCATGGGAAACTGCAAACACATTTCTGACTTTGATTCTGGAGGTGTGGCAACCCAATGTAAAAGACTGTCAGTTTAGGGGTACTGTACCCATCCTGACAGATTCCAACAAAACATGCTGTTGGGGTTTGATGGGTTGAGTTCCGTTAGGATTAAAGAAAGTATAGGCCTACGTGTGCTTTTGCTGTAATTTTCAGAAATGGATGGATTTTGGGGTTAGTATTTTTCATACTTGTAAGAAAATGTACATGTATTGTTACACTGACCTGTTTAAAAGTTTTGTGTTCATAGAAATGATAGATGCTGGAAAAGCAAGAACAAAATTTTGTTCTTGTAGTCTGGTTCCCTGAACCATGCCTGAACCTACTTCAGACGAAACAGAGCAATGTACAGATGCCAGGCAATTGTCAGGTCAGGGAACCAGAGTAGCTTGCTTGTTCATGGATGTCTAACCAATTGTAAACAAAATGTGGACTAACTTAATTGGGTAAATTTGGAGCACTATTTGAAAGAAAGTTAGTTTTCGAACAATGGTCGGCTGACCATCGTTGAAAATTGATACAAAACTTCTCCTTTCTTGAAAATGGCAGTGCACTGGATGCCATTATTTTACAGGATGCTTGAGACTATTTTTTATTTGGTAGTTTTGTTTTTTGATGTTTGCCAATGTTGTTACATTAAACTCACAGTGGAAAAGATTGTTAGTTGACTGATCACACTGGAGAATAACTTTAAAAAGTCCAAATTTGAGCTAAGGTTACATATGTACATTCAATAGGCCCTAATTGAATTGATCTTCAAAGTTCAAAACATAAAAAAATAACAATTTGTTGTGTGCTGCCTGTTATGTTGCTTACAGTTACAGGTTTTTGGCACTTTATTGACACAAGTTCCAAAGTTCATAATTAGCTTTAATTGAAGGCTTTTGCACATTTGGAACACAAAGAGCCTCTGTAGGCCTACATGTACAGTATGTAGTTCACATGTCATTCATTGATACAATGTATTACAAAGAAAGTCCTAATGCAGAAAAATAAAATGTAACTTTGCATTAGAATAAAATTAAGGATTTTGATTCAGCAGTTTTGTATTTGACATCAAGCAGCTGAACTGTGAAATTTGCTCACATCTTGGGCAGCCGTTTCTCTGATTGCTACATTGCAAATACCAGGCAATAACATGCAACTTATCCTCAGATCCACTGATTTCCTCGTTTATTACTTCACATGAAATGCCAAATGTTACAAATTGAAAAACACTGTACAAAGTCTTGTGTGGTTTGGAATTTCCTCGTAACAAGAAACTCTTTTACTGTTTAAACATTAAGAAATGTAAGAACAGAGACCAGCAAAGCAAATTTGTTGGTTGCTTTTTGTGCGAACTGTACAACACTGTGGTTTTAAGCCTGAGGGTTGCATCCGGGTGTTTAGAATTTGTCAAAAGACATGCTGTCAGCAGTTTTGAATGGAAACCACCCAGGATTGTGGGGCTAGAATCCCAGGATAAATTGATGTTGACATGCAATCATTGCTGGGTGTGTTATTTTTCGAATTCATGCTTCCTAACCAGTGAGTGCTCAATGGAAGATATCCAAATACAAAGTAATGAACAGTAAGAACATACATACATGTACATACACATTTCTTTGTGTATTGTCCATTCATTTCAGTATTTGAATGGAGACTTACCCAAGTTTACAAGGGTAGTTTTCAGAGTTGTAACGAGTCACTGATTTTTGTGACTCGAGTCGAGTCGAGTCATTTTAAAGAAGTGACTCGAGTCGAGTCATTTTAAAGAAGTGACTCGAGTCGAGTCGAGTCAATAGGTCAAAAGGTCGAGTCGAGTCGAGTCAAATATTTAGCTCGAGTCAATTCGAGTCACGATTATTTGAACACTATATACCTAAATGTATAAAAGGAGGCCATAAGTTTAGCCAGCGTTTGAATCCAAGAGCTTTATAAGAAATCGCCCAAAGCCAATGATGAAACAGCGAATTAGAAATGTGTTTCACACTCTGGTTCCTGGATAGTATTTTGTCCTTTCTAGAACCATGAGGTGGGAGTCTGTGACACGTTGTATATTTATACATGACTGCCATTCGCAAAGCGAAGTGAGCATAATTTTGCACCGTAAGTCATTGCAAATACTTTTCGCAAAGTTGTGCTTTTATTTTGGGGACTCGAGTCTTATTGGCCTTCGCTCGAGTCGAGTCGAGTCTTCTGATGAGGGACTCGAGTCGAGCCGAGTCATTTGCTCGCAGTGACTCGAGTCGAGTCGAGTCACCAAAAATTGTGACTCGAGTCAGACTCGAGTCGAGTCATGGACTCGAGTCATTACAACTCTGGTAGTTTTTTCCATTATGATGAAACTAGGGGTGTGCATTTACGGGTAGTACAGGAACCGGGTACCCGATGGAAAAAAACCACGGGTACCCGGGAACCCGTTAAAGAAAAACCCAACGCCAAACATGCCAAAATTCAAATCTTGGAAGGTGCTGAACATTGGGATGTTTTACAAAGGTCTGCACGATAATACTATCACATCAGCCTCGGCGTATCAATACAACAAGACATAAGTGTGTTCAGTGAGCTTTAAAGCTTTACGGTGTAAATTGCAGCTTTCGGGAACGTCATGAGTGTGAAATGTTTTGTTTGCCCATGTGGCCCGGTTTTCGTTTTGAAAATCCCTCACAAATGACTTCAAAACCTTCCTTTTTCATTGTCTGAGAAGTAACTACATGTAGATGTAAGTAATTTGTATAGTTGGTTACGGGTACCCGATCCCATAATCTGGAACCGGTTCCTGACATGAACGGTTTGGGTACTCGGGTACCCGGTTCCGATGCACAGCCCTAGATGAAACCTACGACCACACAGTCTATACATTTTAAAAGAATAATTCACGCACAAATGACGTGTCCAAAACTGATGTGGGGATAGGCTTTAAAATGCAGGGATCTTTTAGTGAGGGGGGGGGGGGGCAATATAGTATGAAGGTGAGAGGTGCAGTCCCCACTCCGATGCAACTGCAAAACAAGACCAGATATTACGTAACCCATTCTCTATTTTTTTGCTTTTGTAAAACCACAAACTACATGTTATGTAACGCTTCTTGTTGAAAAATTTATTTATAACTTATAACTGTTACAAGAAATTCCCAGTTAGGCCCAAAAAAAAAAAATTCTCAGTCTCTGGTCAGCGCGCGCGTCGATTTTAATCATGCGCGTCAACTATTTTTTTCTTCTTTAAATTAACACGGAAGCTACAACAGCGCCCTCTATTGCTGCGCCTCCTCAAATTTTTGTACCAAGGAGCACCAAGGAATGGGGAAATTGCACCAAGGCAAATGATAAAGGGCACCAAGGCAAATTATGGAGGACACCAATGTATGAGGACACAAAAAAGCAAAATAGTACCCACCTTGTCTGTACAATACAAGCTTGAAAAAAAAAAAACCACCACAAAAAAAAAAAAAACGCGTCGCCGCATCAATTCCGGAACTTCGATCTGACCAGAGACCGACTATTTTTTTTTTTTTGGCCTTACATGTATATCAGATTCATCCCTGCCTGACCACCAAGAAACGCTTGGAAAAGATCTCAATACAAAACACTTTCTTCCCAATGAATTTCTTGTTGTCACATCAGAATCCTGTACGTGCAAATATTATCAATCCCTTGAATAGGACTCCCTTAAAGTCCCCATGTTAAGCAGTTCTAAATTCACTTCACAGGGCATCACTTTTGGGCACTCCTTAATATTTATCTGGATTATGGGGGATTATTCACTGTCCCTGAACAACAGGGAGAACCAGTTAATCCTAAACTTTTGGTCCTTCAAACCAAGGATCATTAATTGAGTCCGCTCCATTTAATCCCACCACGTCAAGGACTAAGCATCGCAAGTTACCCTTCGCGGGAAGCCAAAACTCTGTTAACAATTCATAAAGTATTGATTTTAACTGTCAATGAACACACTAGCAATGCCAGACAAGTTTCAAATGACTGAACAATCATTCAATATTTCACACTTTGGTCTTATACAAGGTTTCTGAATTGATAGTTTGGCACAGAGGTGACAGCCTCTTTTCAGTGGACACAACCAGATCTCCAAGGGAAACCGTACACAGTTTCGCCGGCCCGTAATCAGCTTATAGCTCAAGTTGCGTAACACCCCCCACTTAAAATGAATTGCTGGCCCTTCAAGCCCTGCAATTGCCGACCACCATCATTGATATCGTTGGCTATTGTTCAGGCCACTTTCAGCCCTAATAGCAAGAGAAGGCTGCTGCACAACAAGAGTACACAGATTGGTGGATGGTATGATGATGCCCGCAGGGAAACTTCTGGGAGTTCGCTGGTGTATGTTTTCTGTGGCTTCAACTAAAGTCCAAGTTGATCTCCCGGGAAGCTTGTCTGCAGCAGCAACTGAGCCAGATCAAGTTTTCTTGGATGCTTTGGCGAATTTTCTGAAATCTGTGGGAGGAGAGTTTGGTGAACGCAGCCTCACGGACAGGTTACTGTCCGCTGCCAGCGTCAAGGATTTATTACAATCCTCTTCTCGGTAACAATTAATCAGTTCTCTTTCTGACAAAATACTCCAAGGAAATGGATACTCTGGAGAAGTCCCTGGTGGAAAAAGTTTAGAAATTCTCAACTTGATGTCAAAGTTTAAAGAGGCCTGCAACTTTGATTGAAGTTTAATCACAAGTGATTCATTGCCAAGCGAGCCGTCAACACCTGGACACAATCTGAAGTTGTCGTCAGGGGATACCAGAGCTTTTCTTGGCACTGGTTGCTGTGAGAAAGATGGCGTGATTGTTTCCTCTGGATTTAAAAAAAAGATAACTCTATTGAAGTTCTTGATAAAGAGTGTTGGCTCTCATCAGAGAAAACATATTTGAAGGCTGTTAGGCCTACGATACTTGTCGTCAGAGGATACCAGAGGTTTTCTTGGCACTGGTTGCTGTGAGAAAGATGGCTTGATTGTTTCCTCTGGATTTAAAAAAAAAGATAACTCTATTGAAGTTCTTGATAAAGAGTTTTGGCTCTCATCGAAGAAAAATTTCAGAAGACTGTTACTTGATTGATGAAAAATCGAAGTTATTTCCTTGGATTACTGCCAAGCACAGACCCCTACATTTTGTTTATGGTCTGCTTGCATTTCCAGTTGAAACCAAAAGCTTTAGAAAGTGGAATTATCCCTGTGATCTGATGTGGTGGGGAAGTTGAGAGTCCTCAAAGGTGATATTGAGATGTTATTGACTGCATGAGTTACACTGTATTCATGTTTCAAGTTTATCAAACGTAAATGCGAAACAGAATGTTCGAAGTTTTAAGGCACACACATGTGCACAGTGGAAGTCTGCTTTGTAACACGAGATCATTGTAGACAGCAAGAAACGACATGAACACATCAGGTTTTCTTGTAACATTTGCAAGTAATAGTCTGCAGCCTACAATGTACACATCAAACCCAGAAGACTCTACATGTATTTGTCCAAAACTACAGCCATCCACAAACATTTTGTGTGAAGGGTCTGTGGGTTAACAGGGTGCAGTTTGTCCAACTATACAGGCTTCCACTCCGCAGAAGATACTCGGTCGAAAACAAACAGGACAGTCAGAACAGTGTCAGATGGCTTCAAGTGCTTCCTAAATATTGACGCTGAAGTGCCTGTATAATATTTGTACAACTGACAGTGAAGCGAAACACGAATTGCTGGTGTATTTAATGCACAGTTCTTTACTGGAAAGTTCTACTTGAAACCTCTGGAGTGACTACAGTTTGCAGACCACCAGTGGATTTGCAGTTGTCAAAATGTGGAAACTCTTACTGTTTATGTGAGGATATTTTGATTGATGAGAACTTTAGTAATATTATGAGGCAGTGAATGTTTGACTGACACAGTGCCCATGGCCAGCATTGTTTCACGTACCCTACGGCCCAGGGGGGCTAGCGGCAGGCCCACAGCAGGCCCACGGAAGCCCTACCACCTGCCCAAGCTTGATCAGCTTGCTCCCAAGGTGGGGCCGGAGGGGAGGGTGTGCTCTGACCCCTCTCCTAGAGTGGGTAGGTACTTGGGGGGGGGGGGACAATAATGCTTATATCTGTTGGAAAGCTGTTTCTCGTCCTGAATAATGTAGCAAATATCATGGAGCAAATTTCAAGGAGTTGTTTGGCAACAAAAATAGTGCTGACTGCTGAGCTGAGGGCTGTGCATCAGAACTGGTTACCCGAGTAACCCACCACAGATGTTAAAACGTAGAAACCGGTTCCAGATTATGAGATAGGGGACCCATAACCAACTTTACAAATTACTTAGTTACTTCTTAGACAATGAAAAAGAAAGGTTTTGAATGCTAATTGTGGGAATTTTCAAAATGAAAATCAAGCTACATTGAAAATCGAAACAGGTTTCATTTCACTCGCTGAAATCACTCTGGACGAGCATCAGCTGAGAAGTTTTCACTGGCATATCCATAGCATGCCAATCTCCATATAAGGAGTTGTTTACGGCTACTCACGAGAGGTGCATACCATAACATAGCTAGAGGGGTGTTTAAAAAACATGAAGTAAAATTGTTAAACAAATTCTTTCAAGTTTGTAATTTTTGACTTGTTTTGACTTTTTGTCTGAAAAGGTATTTATGAATCCATGGAGTAAATATATGCTTGGCCAGTATTTAACAAGTCTTTTTAAGACCTGCTCAGGGCCTGGTCGCCGATAATATCTCTGTCAGCATCCATTCCCGAGCCAGTCTTAAGCGGACATGTAAGCATATATTTATTCCCTTATTCAACGTTTCTAGGGTTCTTGCAGTTGCTCTGGAAGTCGTTTGAAACTGACCATACAAGATATGGTGCAATTAAAATGAACTTCTTTTCACTCAACTTGTGTTGCTACTTTTCTCTTTTATACGGCACAGCAAAACGACAATCTAAGAAGCACTCAAACCTCTCTGCGGAGCCCAGGACTAAAGAAACCAGTGCCAAACTCAGCCTGACCAGCATCACCTCCAACGGCTCCACCTCAGCACCAGCCAGGGGTACACGGAGGAGCAACAGTGGCGACGGGGATGAGAATAAAGGTGTCGGACCCAGAAAGACAAGTCAGGAGTCCGTCGGCACCTTAAAGAGTCGGACTTCACAGTCCTCGTTTGAGTCGGATTTGAGCGAGACCACGGCCAAGATCGACGAGAGCCTGCGGTGGGACAATGTCTGCTCGGATCCCGAGCAGGAGGCCGAGCGCATCCGGATCTACAAGATCAACCGGCGCAAGCGCTACCTGGCCGAGTCGCTGCGCAAGCGGCAGGACAAAGAGAGCGTGCTCAGCTTTGCCAAGGAGATTGCTGCATGTGATGACCGGTGACGTCAGTCTCTTGTCCTACAGCCTACTGTCAGGATTTGTGGCTGATTTGGGGTCAGTTGTAGGCCGTGTCAGCCAGAATTCACCCAGCAACTGGTATGTGCACTACCTGTTGAGGGCGCCCTTCTCATGGAGCAGCATATCGTTATGAGGGTGTTTGACCTACCATTGCTGCGTCGTTGGCTTTGTGCAGATTTTGTAAGAAGAGTGATCTTACTGATAGTTGCTCTAACAAAGTTTGTACGGTTTACCTCGTCTAGTCCCATACCCAAAATTGTTTGACACCTTTTCATCCCACAGGCAGGATATCCAAGGCTTAGGCAAATGTGTATACTTAAGATAAACACTGGGTAGTAAAGTACTGGTTTTTAAAGGGTTAACAATTCGTCACCGACACCACAAACTGACACTCACGCGCAAGTGGGTGACTGTCAGTTCGTGAAAACCACATAATCAAAAATTTTGGTTTCATGAACTGACACACTGATGCGAAATAGGAAGATTTTCGTTTTCACGAACTGACACCCAAGCATGATGCGGCAATACAGAACGGAGAAAAACGGTTTGAAAGGTTTGACACAAATTTAATCCATCCGTGTACGGTACTTGTGTGATTATACAAAATTTTAATTAAAAAGCGTTTTAATTAGTGAAATTAAGATCAGTGGCAGTTCGTGAAACCGAAAATGTACGGGGTGCGCTCTTAAAGTGCCGCACTGTTGAGGATGTCAGTTCCTGAAACCCAAAATATCCCGGTTCTGTAAATACAAATGCGTGCAGCGCACTCACGCGCACATGAGTGTCAGTTCGTGGTGCCGATGACGAATTGGATCTGGATGCAGATCACAGAGTTGAAGTCATACGACACTCACAAGTCAATCTCAAGGCTGTCAAATCATAAGTCAAATCATAGGAAATGTTGAAATAACAAGTAACAGAAGATGAACAATGACAGAGGCATTGGAGTACCTACTTTTTGATGTGGCTTGAGACAAGATGATTTGTGATTGGACTTGTGATGACTTTTGATTGACTTGTGATTGCCTTTGCTACAACAGTACAACTCTTGACACTTTACATGAGGCATGCTCTGTTTGTACCACAGTTGGAAAACAGGGGAAAAGTAATTTTCAAAAGAAATCAGGCGAAGACTCTTCTCTTTGCAGTTGGGTGAATTCTTCTAACCTTAGGCCAAAAAAAAAGTCTCCGGTTTCTGGTATGGAGCTTGCCCCAAAAGTGGTGCGGCGACGCGGCTTTTTAAAAAAAAGTTTACTTTTTTTTCTTCAAATGTCGGCTGATGACTGCAAATGGTTCCCGACTAAATTTAGTGCAAAATGTATGGGAGCCCAGAGAGGCCACATAAAGCTTATACTCGATTGTAACCCCATCTAAAAACACGTTGAAATTGTGCAGCAGCAGGATTCCAGTCAAACCAGTGAGTTTGGCGGTTTTGAGACATCATCGTACATTGAAAAAAAACTTTTTTCATTTTACCGATGCGCATGGCTATGGCGACGCCAGAGACCAGAAACCGGAACCTTTTTTGTTTTTGGCCTTAGGTTTGAAAATACTGCAATTTCTGTCCCTGTCTTTCTTGCCAGCTTGAGTTTCATCCCACATTTTATTGTTTATCAGTTTTGAGTGAACACTTGCGTGCCAGCAAGTTAATAGTTGACTATAATTCAATTTGGAATCAGTCTAAACAAGTCAAAGTGGCGTTTCCCAAATCGTATATTTGCTGTCAACTTGGAACTTTGTAAAGGAGTTAAAAGGTGATCAAGAAAAGTTGAGTGGCCCAGTTCAAGAGCATCACTGATTGATGGGATGAGAGGCACTTCAGTTGACCCTTTGCCACGCTGGGCACTCCCTCTCATTTCGCGACAAAATTCCAGTAAAACGATCGGTCGGACTCAGTAAACAAAATGAATTGGGTCAGATTGTCACGATTGACATGAAACACATTTGGTTTACAATTGGGTAAAATTGCGTTCAATGCAAATGAATTTGTGAAGAGTTATCCTAGAATGCGACAGGTCACGGTTGCCCCTATGAAGATGTGTACCTCATGTAGCCTTGGCAAACTATCAAAAATCTTCAGGTTTAAATAGGCCTGTGTTGAACCCATACGTTTTTACCCCGCTTACACTTGCAAAATTTCACATTCATCAAGTAACCAAGCACTTCCTTTCTGAATGGATAATGTCAAATTGGGTAGAAACTCTGTAAGTTAGAAATGCGAACTGTGTATAAGAATTTAGACAATCTATTCGAGTGTTTAACAATGCAGTGCACCACCAAGAGTTTGCCAGGGATAGACCATTTTTCAAGTTTATGGTCGACAAAACACAGCCCATTTGAATGAGTATCAGTAGACAACTTGAGCTAATTTGTTGGATTGGGGAACATAGCGTTCTGCCGCCTTACAACCATATTGATAAAAAGAAAAGAAAAGGGCAAACTTACTCGAGTCATACGCTTAGGAAACTACTGACCAGACAAACTAACAATCTCAAATGTGTCCGCTGCGAATTTGTCGACCATGTCCCACAATGCACTGGGAAAAATGAACTCTCCGTGGCAAACTCTTGGTGGTGCACTGCATTGCGAAACACCCGAATTACAAGACTATTGACAGAGGAAATTATCCATGTTAATTTTTTTTTTTCCAGTTGACAAGTTTTGTGTGTGTGATAAAAGTTTTCGTTTGTGCTGAAATATAGTGTAGTACTGAGGAAATAAAGGGTTTATGTTACAGGAAAAAAATCTAAAGATAAAAATATTTTTTAAGAAGCTGAATAGCTGAAATTTAAGATGACTTTTGTGCAGTACATATGCTAGATATCAATCAAAATAAGCCAAACAACCCAGGCTACCAAAGTCAACAATATTCCTTACTAAATGGATGAAAACTGGGCAAGCATAACATGATGACAGAAACTGCATTTAATGTTTAATATTTCTAGGGGAAAAAAAAACTTTTAAAAAACATTTCGAACTTGGGGTCATGGAAGGAATTTATAACAGCAGAAATAGAAGATTGCCTCTTTTTGTAAATATTCATTTTTGTTGGTGTGTTTATGAGGTTAGAATATGATAAGTTCAATTCCGTTCACTGGAAAGTCATTTTAAAAAATTGTATTGGAAGAATGCAAAATTAAACAAACTTGTGTGATTACTTGAGATGGATCCATTAGGCTTCCTGCAGGGGCAGATCTAGTTTTCAGGAAACGGGGGGGGGGGGGGGGGGGGGGGGGGGGGGGGGGGGGGGGGGGGGGGGGGGGGGGGGGGGGGGGGGGGGGGGGGGGGTGATGTAAAAGGGCGGGTTGAGTGAAGGCGTGGCAAAGGAATGCTTTCCTGGGGGGGGGGGTCCTCCGGGGCCATGAACCCCCCCCCCCCCCCCCCCCCCCCCAGAAATTTTGAAATCTATGGTGCTTCCTCCAGCATTATAAGGTAATTTGGAGAATAATTTTAGAAATGTTTTATTTTTGGCCCCGTTATGCTAGTATCATAACATTAGTCAGCAGCTGATTAGATTCCACAAGTGCCCTGCAAAACCTGTAAAAACTTGTAAAACCTCAAGTTACTGCCTGGTGAATTTTGCTTCGCCCCTAAGCTTTAAAAAACAACATATTTTGTTTTTCACTTTCTGAGGGTGAGTAGAGGAATTAAAAACCAAGGCAATCAGCTCTCTGGGGAACAGTTCCATATATCCTTGAGCATGCTCTCTTGTGATTTTCTTGTGTTACTAAATCTACATGCTAGTTTGTAGCACTTACAGTTGAGTTCTAGTGTCTAAAGTTTGAATGTGACATTGAAATTTTGTGGCTTTTGGGTTTGATGTAAGTTTTCATTTGGTGGCATGTACATTTTTATATGTATTTGTACATTGTGTGTTGTGCTTTGTGTGTATTTTTTCAATTCAAATGTTACCATTTAATTGTCCTTCCTTGATTTTCAGCATTAATTTGTTTAATGTCAGCAGATTTTATAGCAAAAATGTCTATTTATTGAAATCAGACTTCAAAATGAGGTCTTTAAACTTGTTTTGCATGTACATTTCATGTCAGTTATTTGTTATTGCAATTGAAATTTTAAAAGCAATTTCTGAAAATGCACAAAATGTCGATTTGTATCAAATTTCTAAGAGCAAAAGTGGTTTTCGAAAGAAATAAATGCATTGAGAAGAACATGTTGTTATCTAGTGATTCTTTGAACAGCAAATGAAAATTATAAGACAAAATAAGTCAGTTCGATACATTCTCAATATTAAATTGATAATTTAATGTTCATCTGGCACAGTACAAAAACGGCATACATAACAAAAAGTACAAACACAACACAATACATGTATCTATTTGATCCATACTCCTCATGCAAGTTGATATACAACGTGTACACATGTTTTCTTTAAATAAGTGATTTGTTTAATTTCTTATTCATCCAAACTGGCATGTTCATTTTGAATTATCAAATCATTTTCTTACGGTTGGCCTCACAAAAGTAGTGGTAAAGCATTTGAGAAAATTTACATTTTTAAGAAAACCTCGAAGGAAACTTTTGTTTTGCCATGGCATAGGAATGTTTATGCTTATATAAAATTTACATCGGATATGCTTAATAGCAAGAGGCCATGTTGCAGATTATGTCTGTTCACTCTGTTGCTACACATAACGCATTAATGAAATTCCTGTACAGTTTGACTTCATTTATGAAAGTTCGGCCTAACGTCTTGTGTAAAGTCTTGAGCCATGGCCTGTTAGTGCAACGTTCCATAAATTGAGAAATGCCCCATTCTGCAAGTAAAGTATAATCGGCGAAGGCATGGAATTAATGTTATGAAGGATCGAATAGTACGGCAGATAGGTTACGGGATTGTGCCATTGATGATACAAGCATGGCATTTGGCACACAGAGTATGTCATGAGAAAGATATTTGGCTATAGGGCCATCGCAGATTTGTCCTTTGAAAAAAACATATATAGGTAGAATAACAAGCAATGGCAGCCATTTTGAAAATTTGTAATATTGCTTGTTATTCTACCTATATTTTTGCAAAGGACAAGTCAGCGATGGCCCTATAGCCAAATAGTTTCTCATCATGACATCATCAAAGGCACAATTCCCCCAAACTCTTTCCCTATCTGCCCCACTAAAAGTCCCAATTAGTTATCTGAGTTTTGACCTTTTTTTTTTACACAAAAACACTGCAAAGACATTAGGAATGTATATATCAATTTCAAAATGCTCGAATGTGTGCTCTCTTTCTAAAGCAAAATGACAAACTCGCCATACTATAGCTGTTGCGAAGGTGTGTAGAAAATAACATGGGAGGGGAATCGGAGGTGTTACGCCCTCAACCTGTTCAATGGCCAATCTTGAACGAGAGTTCAAATAGCCCCTCCCACATTTGTCACCCTAGCTCCGCCCCAACATTTGGCCGTACATATCGGCCTAATAAACAAGCAAACTTTTAAACTTTATTGAAAAAGTTTACGCGACAAACACAAACTATATATATATTTATAAATAAATAAAATTACATATTTTAGCACATCACCCCACCCCAATAAAACCAAATACCCACGTGATAGGTTGACTACTAAATTAAGAAAGGTCTATAAAAAGTAGGCAATATTTTTTTTGCCGATAGACAAATTAGGTTTTGATGGAATGTCAAGTTTTATGACTCTTGACGGATTGTCATTTTGTCTGACAAAGCGTTCCATAACCGAAAGTTTGGATTGAGAAATTCCTCATACAAGTACGAGGCGGAAAACGAGCTTATTTTAGTTTCTTCTCGGGAAAAATATTACCAAAACCAGATTGTTGTAAATTAAGACTATAGTTTGTTGGGTTGGCCTAAAATAGAAATGACCTGCATGCATGAGTTGGGCAACCTATTCCTGTTTTTCGCCCTATCGAGGATAGGACAAAAATAGAACTGCTCGACCTTTCCTTCCTAAATAGGTCTCCAGACCGCGGTCCAAAGAATTAAGATTTCACTACACAGAGTGAGTAAAAAAAAAACCCAACGAAACCCAAATGTCAGGACTATTGTTTCACTGAAGTTCTGCATGTAGCACTTTCAACATGTAGGATACAAAAGACCAATTCATAAGCTTTCTTTTAGTGCAAGAATCATTTTAATTGCTCATGTACTTTTCAAGTTACGGAATTTTAAACACAACCACCGTTTTAAAGTTCTGTCCACGGATCACAAGAAGGTAAGTGCTCTTTCAGCAAAACAAAAAACAAATCACATAGGGATGTGTGTGAATTGTTTTCGTTTTGCTGAAAGAACGCACACTTTTTTGTGATCCGTGGACAGAACTTTAAAACGGTGGTTGTGTATAAAATTCCGTAACTCCAAAAGTACATGAGTGATTTGAATGATTTTTGTTATGAATTGAGCTTTCATATCCTAGATTTTGAAAGTGCTACATGCAGAACTTCACTAAAACAGAAGTCCCGATGTTTGGGTTTCGCTGTTTTTGACTCGCCCTGTAGCATCGCTGATACAGCGTCCGCACCCCCGTTAAAATGGAAAAGTCTTTTAGTACTTGAAATAAATACACAACTTTTTTACCTCAATGAAATGCATATTTTATCTCACAAAAGTTATAGCCGGGGCCGTAGCACATGGGAATTTCTGGTACTAATACTCCTCCCCCCGCCCCAAGTCGTGGTGAATTTGCTTTCAGATTCAAACTATAAATATGTATTAAAATAATCCCTTACTGTAGGGTGTGTGATAAATCAATTAAAATTGAAGGATTCATGACTGTTAGGGGTAATAATTTCCGCAGCATATCCTTCAAATATATAGTATCTTTTTTTTTAATCACTGTCAAATCAAATTTTCAAAAAGTACTAGCGAGATACCGCCGTTGGTGGCGCTATATACTACTCCATTTCTTAATCACCAGCCCTAAGGCCCCCCAAAAAAGTCTCCGGTTTCTGGTATGGAGCTTGCCCAAAAAGTGGTGCGGCGACGCGGCTTTTTTTTTTTTACCTAATTTTTTGCTTCAAATGTCGGCTGATGACTGCAAATGGTGCCCGACTAAACTTAGTGCAAATATATGGGAGTCCAGAGAGGCCACATAAAGCTTATTCTCGACCATAACCCAATCTAAAAACACGTTAAAATTGTGCAGCAGCAGGATTCCAGTCAAACCAGTGAGTTTGGCGGTTTTGAGACATCATCTTTCATTGAAAAAAAAACTTTTTTATTTTGCCGACGCGCATGGCTACGGCGACGCGCGCGCATACCAGAAACCGGAGATTTTTTTTTTGCCTAACAATAGGGTCAAATTCGGTGTGGGATATTCAAAATGCATTCGAATTATAATCTCCATTGAATGATCATCTGAGTATAATTAGTCACTTTTTTATGGTCAATCAAATATTTTCATTCCTTGATTGAAAAAAAAATCAATTTAAGTTTCATCTTGCTGTGAAATTTCATTAAAATAAAATATCCACCATTTTATTAATAATTTATTTGGAAACGACAACTTTATCATTGATGTGATTTTGTTCTAGATAAAACACCAAGTATATTACAAATCTACAACCACAACCTACTTCGTCATTTATTTTTAAATAGCTGTCCAGTATAACGACCTTCTTTATCGATCGATTGTTTTTGTTCAAGTTAAAAACGTAAAACGTCAGTTACTTGTCATCCTTCTTTAACGTAATAGACTAAAAATGCATAATCAGAAACAGTTTACCAATCCATAGTTATTGAGAAAAGAAAAATCACGACAGGAAACCTTTAAAAATATCAGTTACTCACACGTCATCGGCCCTTTTACCAGCGACACAAAATTCATAATCAAGAACGTTTTTCAATCAAAAGTGATTAAAAAAACTCAAACTGACGACAGTCCTGATAAACAGTCGGTTACGGAGATGAATTTATTTACTCGCTTTTATGGAAGACTTCGTCATAGGACAAAATTAGCGCCACACCTGTGTGCAAGCATCCGGAGACAATGTTGGGGAGCAGCTGAGGGGTTTTCCAAACTTTGGCTTCGTCTCGTATTTTGGCTACAAGAGATTTTTGGACCCCAGACTTCATGGACCCTGGCTGAGGTCTTAAAATTGTATACTTTTACGACTTAAGAATATTTCTATTTAGTTTGGATATTAAAATGCTTTAAAACGATTCTGCAGTCAGTGATGTAGCCATACTGGAACAAACCCGAGGTTTGGAAAACACCCAAGCAAAGACAACTTTGCCGGGCACTGAAGTTTTTCTGGCCCCGAAAATTTGCTATAAGCACTATGTTCCATGAAACTGCACCAGGGAAACTAAGTCTTGTACATCTTACAGAGGATTATTAAACTACATGTACTATTCTAATTCCTCTATATAGATATTTGTTTCGATCAATATTTTACAATAAACATCTAGAACTGGGTATAGAATCTATAGTTTTTTTGGCGGAGTTGAATCTCCTTTTGACTCTTGTCTCCAATGTTCAACTAGTAACGGCTTGGACGAGTTCTACACTAGAGTCGAGTGGGCCCGTGGTTGATTCCAGTGATATCAAGCCTAACACCAGAAGCTTTGTTCAACGATAAAAGTTTAACTCCAGATCAAGATAGATGGACCAGTTTGACGGAGACGAAGTCCCTAGCTTCAAGCTCGACAGCCACCCGGTACCATTTGATGGTCTTCCCCGCATGATGCTCCAAACTACTCACCACGTTCCTCCGAGGGAACTTGGGAAACACCACCACGGTAGTGGTGAATGTCTTCGGGGGTGACAGGATCGCAGCCCCGGGGATCATGTACACGGCGTCACGGTACCTGCGGAACTTGCTGTTGATGAAGCACTGAGTGGTAGTGCTGTAGGTTGTGGTGGGTTTGGCGCCGAGTTGCAGGCGAACCTCTTCCCGGAATGATCGCCGAGTGTCCTGGATCACCCACTCCAAGCCGTAGTGTCGACGCTGGTACGGCGCGCGTTCCGTCAGCGTGACGCTCTCGGTGTACCGGCGGTATGGCACCGGGTACCCGTCCTCCCCAGGCCTCGCTGCTCCATCTTCGTCTTCGGACTCCTCGGAAAAGCAGGAGTCAGACTCTGAGCCCGAGTCGGTCCGGGAGTAGCTGGAAGAGGCGCCTGAGTAGGAGGAATTTGAGAGGCTCTCACCGGAGCTAAGACGCTTGCTTCGGGTGTGGGCGGGGCTTTGAGGGCCGAAGGGGATGTCCGCTGGATCGATGTCCTTCTCCGTAACCTCCTGATGTGAATTAAAAAGAGAAAAGGATTTTAACGTACGTGACAATGGTAACGTAGACAATTTGTCTTTGAAACTGGCTTCCGTTATTAATATTCACATCTCCGCTTCCTAAGTTCAGAATCTGTGCTTAGTGTTGTGATTTTCTTAAACTTAGAAAAGTTGTTTGGGATTGTAATTTCAGAAGGGGGTTGCCCTTGGGTGAAGGCAAGTTGGGATTGGTTTTGGGGTCAAAAGGTCATCAAAGATCCAAGTCACAGTGGTGAGTTAAACGTTAACGGTTTCCGGATGATATAACTTGAGTTATAAATGAGATTTGGGATTCTAACAGCAGCAGGGGGTTGGACTTGGGGCCAGGCAAGTTCGGAGTGGTTTGGGGGTCAAAAGGTCAAAGGTCTAGGTCACAGTGGTGATTTAAAGGTTAATAGTTTCCGGATGATAACTTGACTCGGGCAAGATATACTCTGCTAAGTATACGGATGTGAAGTGCTGCGATTTGATTTCTTGAAGGTAAACATAGCCCCGAGCTTGTCCCCGCTGGAAACGGTGACTCGTTTGCAAACTAGTACTAAGCGCACAGTGACGTTTATATCGCAGTTTATATAACTTCCAGCTCAATGCTATATATGAGGTTTCATGAAAATCCATAAATTCATTTTTGTATTGCCAACGCAGCTCAGCTCAGAAAAGACTCACTCCCTGGCTTCCGCGAGGGGATTTGGTGGTATAATTTGACGTTATTACATCAAGTATCCAGCATATAAACTAGCAGCACCTAAAACTGGCAGCACCTATTACTAGCTTCCACTCATATCCTAAAATGGCCAGCAGATAGCTTCAGCGCCTTCATGCGAAACAGCAAAGAGAACGAAATCAACAGGTAGACTCTGGCAATGCGCAAGTAAAATCAAAATCACACTGTATCGTACAATGGCATATACGGACGAGCCCATCCTACCTTAACGTCTTTAGGAGTATCCATTTCGCTTCAAGATGTTCCTCAGAGAGAGAGAAAAAATATACCCTTGGTGTAATCAACAACAGACGCGGAAATGTCTAATCAAAATTCAACCAGAGCATCTGTGCGTGCAGCACAGGGTTCTCATACAAGTTCGCACCTAATCGTTTAGAGAGCAGACTTTTATGCTTCGTCACGAACGAATAAACCTACGATTTCCTGGTATGGTGCCTATAACGGCGAGCAGAAACGCCAAACGCGAGAACATCTCCCCACTTGTTGACATACAGTTGCCTGACAAAAGGCGGGAATCGAAAGCCCTGAAAGAAAAATCCGGGGGAAAAAAATCGATGTTACCGATGCGTGATGTGTTATTGCGTATTATAGTCTCCCCATAGGCCTTTTCATAACTCACATGGTCTATACATGACTAATAACAATAACATCACTGAGGCACGCTAATATATTCATATTCATGCGACTATAATAAGAGATTGGAATGCCTATTGGATAATGGAATAGCCTTTTTCCAAACATTGGTTTCGTCTCCTATTTCTTTGGCTACAAGAGATTTTTGGGCCCCGGACTTGATCGACCCTGGCTGAGATCTTAAAGTTATATACTTTTACGCTAAATTCAAGAATATTTCTATTTAGTTTGAACATTAAAATGCTTTAAAACGATTCTGCAGTCAGCGATGAAGCCGTAGCTAGAACGAACCCGAGGTTTGGACTAGCATTTTTCATTATTTATGCGTGGCTTAGTCTGTCACCATTGCCATGGAAACAGAAGCCATAAGAGTGGCGAACTTGACCCTTGTGCTTTTGAGCATCGCGAGCGTTTAAACCATCGTCTTTATACATGTACATAGCGTGGACATGATTACTGCGCCGCAGTTTTTTTTTATCTGACATGACAAGGGCTTTAGCTTATGCACCATTCAAGTTAGCAAAAGCTCAAAACCTAATGTACATGTACTGAATGCTTCCTCTTCTCTAGTCTAGTACATTCGTCCCCATGCTGAAACTTAGCACCAACGACAAGTGAAATATCTCTGACCCCGTGGCATTACGACTTCCCGATTCAGATCCCAGTCAAGTCGATGCTCTCAGTGTTTAGCACGACAATGTCAACTTTGACGTCATGGCTTTCGGTTTCCGACAGGCAAAACGGCCACTAAAGTGTCTTTTTCATGTTTTTCTCACATTGTTGAATACTAGTATGTGGGATGCTGTGGTCCAAGGGTTACGGTGTTCGACTCGTGTCACGTGGTACATGGGTTCGAACCCTGGCAGGAAACATGGTGCTTGTGCACTTGGGCAAGGCACTTGACTACGATTGCCTCTGGCCCTTGCAGGAGTGAAGGTAGAGACCATATTGCGTGGATCTCCAGCTGCTGCAGGGTGTCATTCCTAATGAACAGCGATAATAATTGTGATTCGCATTTGATCATATTCTTATGGAATTTGCGCAATAATTATGTATAAATTATGATTATTATGTTCACTATTGAATCGCGTACATTTCGAGGGGTATGCATCTTAGAATGTTTTTTTTCCTGGTGAAAGGCATAAATATGTGACCCTGAATTGCGTAAACAAGACTGTGGCATGCATGGTCTATATAAATATATCACCTTTGGCACATTTTCCTTTTATTTTATCCACATACAGTACTTGGTCCCTAGGGTTCAATGCTAATTTGAAACTCCGTCTACCGTGATTCAGAATTCAAACCTCTACCTTGGCATATCATAATCGAATTTCACGTGCAGACAATGGTTTAGCCTAAATAACTCTCTTCCGGGGCGTGGCGTCTGCTGCATGTCACCTCGGGCGAAAAACAAACTAATTTGTGAAGGGAAACATGCAAATCAAGACGTACCGTTGTAGTTCCGTCGTAGACAACCCTCAAAAATAGAGGTAATATTCAGAAGCAAACTAGGGAAAACACACTACAGGGCGGGTCCAAAAAAAAGCGAAACCCCAATATCGGGAATATTGCTTTAGTGAAGTTCTGCACGTAGCACTCTCAACATCTAGGATATGAAAGCCCAATCGATAAGCTTGCTTTTAGTACACAAATCATTCAAATCACTCATGTACTTTTCAAGTTACGGAACACAACAACCGTTTTATAGTTCTGTCTACGGATCACAAGAAGCTTGTGTTCTTTCAGCAAAACGAAATCAAATCGTGTGTGAATCGTTTTCGTTTTGCTGGAAGAACGCACACGTACCTTTTTGTGATCCGTGGACAGGGAATGTACATCGTTGGCTTTTGCTGTAATTTTCAAAAATTAACTTTATGAGGGGTTAGTATAATAGATCAAATATTGTTACACTGACATGTTTGAAGTTTTGTGTTCGAAAATGCTGGAAAAACCAAGAAAAAAAAATGTTCAAGTAGTCTGGTTCCTTGACTCCACTAAAGATGAAATGGATCAATTTATAGATGCCGGAAATTGTACAGTAAAGGAACCAGTCTAGCTGGCCTGCACTCGCTCATGAACATATAACCAATAGAAACCAAAATTTGGACTGAAAATATGGTAAATTGGAGCAGTAGTTGAATAATAGTCAGGTTTTTCCAACGGTGGTCGGCCGACCACCGTTGGAAATTTATACAAAAATACCACTTTTCTTGAAAACGACTTCACACCAGGTGCCATAATTTTACAGGATGCTTTAGACTGTCATTTACCAACATCCTAGTAAGGTTTTTTTGTTAAAATTTGGTAGTTTTGTTTTTAGATGTTCGCAAATGTTGTATATTCCCTTTAAAACGGTGGCTGTGTTTAAAATTTTGTAACTTGAAAAGTTCATGAGTGATCTGAATAATTCTTGTACTGAAAGAAAGCCCCGACATTTGGGTTTCGGTTTTTTTACTCACCCAGTCACCCTGTATATAGTACCAACAAATACCTTGAGTTCATGATCTTTACTAAACACCGTTTTAATATTCTTCACAACTTTTACCCTGCGGCAATGTATTGTTTTTTTACCAGGAAATGTTGGAGATTACGTGGATCGAATAAAGAAAACAAATCAAAAGGGAGACCAATGAAAAATTCCCTGCCGCGATAGCGGGTCAGAGGCCAACATTTTCTGACTGTGTTGGGGATTATAGTCAGAAATCAAAACTTGCAACACAACAGGCGTTGATGTCTGCACGGTGCTTGTGGAAAGGGTAATGGAGCGGGACGTACTATGGCGAGGATTGATGTGAGAAAATTTGAACGTGATTCTGGCATAACAAAATACATACATGTAGACTAGCATATAGCACAGTTTATTTCTTCATTTGGCAGTCTATCTCGAACGTTTATGTGGGCGGGTTTGGGGTCAAATACCATACCATATCATACCATAACAAATCTGGGTGGTCTTGAGATAAAAGGACGATATATCCAATACATATTCGCACAAATCCAGTCAAAAGTAAAGTCACAAATGTACTGCGACAATGTTCATCCGCTTGTTACATTTTGACCTTACATTCGGACTGCATGGACTTGCAAATAGGGATGTGAATTGTTTTCGTTTTGCTGAAAAAAACACACTTGTTACCTTTTTGTGATCCGTGCGTGGACGGAACTTCAAAACGGTGTTTGTGTTTAAAATTCCGTAACTCTTGAAAAGTACATGAGTGATTGGAATGATTCTTGTACTAAAAGAAAGCTCGTTGATTGGGCTTTCATGTCCTAGATTGAGCTAGATGCAGAACTTCATTGAAAAAAATGGTCTTGACATCAGCAGTGGCGTCGCCAAGGGGGGGCCAGGGGGGGGGGCACGTGCCCCCCCTGGAAAACCTAGTGCCCCCCCCCCCCCCGAGTGCCCCCCCCCCATCAAATGCTGGTGCCCCCCTATCCTCTGCAAAATTCTGCGCGTTTTTAAAATCATTACCTCAAAAATAGCAATTTCTTGAGATATCTTCAGATCGAATTTAGCATCAAATGTGGCACCATTTTGCATCTAGCCCATCCTCCGTATGCGATAATTTTCCAAAGGGGAGGGGGGCACCCCCTCCACCCCCTCCCCTTAGAC